AGCATTTCTTTAGAGGAAGAACAGTTTTTAAACAACTATGACAAATTGCAAGCAGTTTCTGTTGATTCATGTTATCAATTGGGCATACTCATTCCCATGCTTACTTAACACATATTAACAGAGAACCTGCTAGGTATCAGGCACTATGATGGTTTCTGGGAACACAAGGGCATATGTTTCTATCTTGGCCTGCAAATTCCTGCCCAGAATCCCTTCTTCCTAGGCTCTGCCCTTTGATGGGGGCTATCCTTCATCTCCTTACCTGACCCTCTCTCCAGCATCAACCCTTTCCCCTTCTCACCTCTTCATAAAAATTAGAGTCAGAATCCCTCTTTGTCACTCCTCGTCAGTTGTGGTACTTTGATCTTGAGCTGAAGACAGGCAGCTCTATGAGTGTGTAAAGATAAACTGAGCCTGGGCAGCTCTGGAGATTGCATAACCTAGGATTGATTTCAGCTCCTTAGATCCAGAGGCAGAGGAGAATGTTCTTAAACCAATCTTGTACCTTCACTGTAGTATATAGCCTGGTTTCAGGACTCTGGGAGCTACAGTATGGAGCCTTGCTATTCGATGTGTAGTTTATGGACAGACATCATCACCACCACCTGGGAGCTTGTTAGAAATATAGAATCTTGGACTCCACTGTAGAATTATTGAATCAGAATCTGCATTTTAACAAGACCACCAGGTGATTCACACACACATTAAAGTTTGAGAAGCACTGATATAGAACAGTGCTCATCAAATTTTGCAACATATTAGAATCATGTGGGAGCTTTTAAAAATCTGATATCCCATGATTATATATTAACAGCAACAAAAATTTGGTGCCCTTACTACACGTCCTGTGCCAGTTAAGTCAGAATATCTTGAGACCCAAGCATTCGTATTTTTTTATTGTGATGCAATACACAGAACATAAAATTTGCAATTTTAACCATATTTAAGTATATACTTTAGTGATGTTATGCATATTAACATTGTTGTACAACCATGACCACCATCTATCTTCAGAACTTCTTCATCTTCCAAAAAAAAAACTCCATAATCCACTAAACACTCCCATTTGCCCTGTACCCACCCCCTGGCAACCACCATTTTGCTTTCTGCCTCTATGCATCTGACTACTCTGGACACCTTGTAGAAGTGGAACATACAGTATTTGTCCTTTTGCGACTGGCCTATTTCACTTAGCATAATGTCTTCAAGATTTACCCACCTTGTACTATGTGTCAGAATTTCTTTCCTTTTACTTATTTTTTATTTTTTCTTTCTTCTTATATAAAAGCAATTCCTCCATGTTTAAAGCTGAACAATATTCATTGTATGCATAGGTCACATTTTGTTTATCCATTCAACTGTTGACGGACACTTGGGTTGCTTCTGCCTTTTGGCTATTGTGAATAATACTTCTATGAACATGGGTGTACAAATATCTGTTCATGTCTCTTTTTGCAGTTCTTTCGTGTATACGCCCAAGTGGAATTGCTAGATCATATGACAATTCTAATTGGAATTTTTTGAGGAATTGCCATACTGTTTTCCACAGCAGCTGCATTATTTTACATTTCCACCAGCAGTGCACAAGGATTCCAATTTCTCTACATCCTCACCAACACTTATTTTCTGTTTTTGTTTTTTATTATAGCCATTCTAATGGGTGTGAAATGGTATCTCATTGTGGTTTTGATTTGCATATCCCTAATGATTAGTGATGTTTCATGTACTTATTGAGCATTTGTATATCTTTGGAGAAATGTCTATTCAAGTCCTTTGTTGTGAGTCAGGTTGTTTAGTTTTTTTGTTGTTGAGTTGTAGTTCTTTATATATTCTGGATATTAATACCTTCTTACATATATGATTTGCAAATATTTTCTCCCATTCTGTGAGTTCCCTTTTCACTCTTTTGATAGTGTCCTTGGATGTACAAAAGTTTGTAATTTTGATGCAGTCTGTTTTAGCTATTTTTTCTTTTGTTGCCTGTGCTTTTGCTGTCTTATCCAAGAAACTATTGTCAGGCATGAGAATTTTTTTAAAGCTCCCCAGATGATTCCAATGCACAGCCAAGATTGAGCAGTGTTTCTCAAATGTTAACATGCATTGGAATCATCTGAAATCTTGTTAAAATGCAGATTCTGATTTATTAAGTCTGGAGTGGGATCCAAGATTCTGCATTTCCAACAAGCTCCTAAATGACGCTGATGCGCTGGTCTGCCGACTGCTCTGAGCAGCCAGGGTAGAGAAGAGCATTTAAATGATTTACTTTATCTGAACCCCCTAAAAAGAGGGTAAATATTATATTTACAGGCCGTCTTCTAAGCTTCCTCACCATAACCATTGCCCAAAAAATACACCATCAAGACAGCCCACTGCTTATCCCTGACTTTCAAACTGGTACTGAGCAGCCCGGTGGGTGCATTGGGTGCGTTTGGCGTGGCAGAGGAATGAAATGTAAAGAACTTATTCTCCCTGCCCCACTCTCTCCCTGGTCTCAGGGGGAGGCCAACCACTGCTCTACTCACGCTGGGTGAGTTCAGGATCCACATGATGGCTTGCTCCTCTCTGGCCTTGGCCCTCGTGAGGCAACTACTGTAGAATCCTGCTGAAAAGCTTGTCTTGTTCAAAATATGTTTCATATCCTCAGAAAGGAAAACCACATTGGTTAGTCTGAAGTTTATAGAAGCAACTCAGGAGGGAAAAAACTGCTGAAGGTCTGCATCTAAAAAAAAAATCCTTTAATTCATCATAGAATTTTAGAGCCAGAAAGGACCTTTAGAGAAGTCCAAACCTTCATTTTGGAGAAGAAAACTGAGACCCAAAGAGGTTGTGACTTGTTTAAGGTCACCCAGGCAAAACAGAGGTCAGCCAATGGGTGCATTATTTCTTTCTCATCTTGCTTTAAGTTATTTATCTGGAAACGGATAACACAGAGCAGCTACTTCTTTCATATCTCTCCTTTTCATTAAAAGAAAAAGTAAAACTAAAGAGGCTAGATCATGGTTCTTGACTGTTAGGGCCTTCATTAGAAAGGTTCTAATGATTAGAACTTTTAGGCTCATATTACCCGAATGGGACCAGCCTCACTGGTGGCCATGACCCAAATTGCAGGTGTGGTGCCTGGGAGGAACTAACTAGCTTCTAAAACACATATCAGATGCCACTTTTCTCTTCCATGCCCATTGCTGATGTTGTAAGCTGATCACAGCACTCTTTCCAGCCACTGCCAATCAATTGGATTTGGCCCTCAAATTGAAACTCCTTTGCCATTCACTACAATAGAGGTCATCCCTTGAAAAGTCCAATGACCTTCAGATCCATGCTACATTTCGGCATGTCGACACTGGTTATTAAATACTCTTTAGTTTCTCATTTCCTCCCCCATCCCCACCCAGCTGCTCATTAATCCAATTATGAATTTCCTTCATCCAATCAAAGTTCCTGCCAAGTTGCAAAGCTCTTGTAGTGATTCATGATGCATTTGTCTTTAGTGATTAGAAAACCAAGCAGAAGATGCTGTCTCGTTCAGACATCTCTGTAATTTGGAATGACCGCAGTTTGGTAGTGCCACACCCCACATGTGCCCTTTGAACACACTACAAGAACCTCCTTCCCAGTTTTTGCCCTGCAATTGGAGGCTTGCCCCTGTGTCACTCCCCAGCCTCTCCAGCAAAGCATTCAAGAGGCTCCTGAATCACGTCTGACTCTGAAGGCAGTGCCCAGGCCCTTCATTTTGGTCTCTGGGTCCTTGAACAGCAAGCTCATTTGCTGGCAGGAGCATCTGTCTCCATATGGGGAGACAGTCTTCAGATCTTCCTTGCTCTTCCCTTCATTAAGACATCAGCCTCACTTAGCCTTGCTCTTGGCTGCCAGATGCACTGACAAGCCAGCAGGAAAGGTTCCATCTAGAATAGGTCTGCTACCTTCTGAAGGCAGGAAAGTACCGCTTTGCCTGCTGGGACTGGACCCATGCAGCCTTTGTGGGCCTCCTTCCAGCAGAGCCTTTAAAACATTCCATGAGTGCTGATTCTAGGCCTGCGGGGAGAGTCTCAGGGTGGTGCCATCTACAGCGTTCCAAGTGTCTCCCTTGCTTTCACTCAAGGGAGGTGGAGTCCCTCCACCTCCTTGGCCATTTTCATCTGTCTCCTGGGTGTGTGCCACTGGCTCCCATGGCACCAGGCTACTTGGCAACACCCCGAGTTATGTTAGAGATATAATAATGAATTATACAATGCATTATACATAATTAATTTATAATGAAACACGCACGCAGTGGTTTAATTTCTCCAAGTGAATGATGTGCTACCCGCCAGATCCTGCTGGAACGCCTTCCCTAACTGACTGCTTCTTGGTCTGGAGGTGATGGCCAGCTGCCCTAGGGAGGGATCTTGGCTTGAGGAACCTGCCAGGTCGCATATTCCCCCTGGCTACCTCTGGAGTATGTACCACAGAAGAACAGTCTTTCATTGCATCTACTATTGTTCTAGATCTGGATACTCATGAGGGTCTCGCCCAAACTCTGCATTGTTTGAGAGCTGTTATGTTCTTCATTCTCCCAGTCTTTCTCCCAGAGTGTGGGAAATGCCTTTGTATTTATACCTTTCCCTCCCCATCTCCCTCCCTTCCTCCCTCATTTCCTTCCTTCCACAAATATGAAATAAATGAAGGAAAGAAGTGCCTATTATGTGAACTACCCTTGGCTTGCTGCATATCAGTGAATAAAACAGAGATCCTTGCCCAAGTGGAGCTTACACTCTAGCAGAGGGAGGCACACAATAAATAATAAGTGTAATAATAAGTAAATTACACCATTTCAAGGAGGTTGCAGTTTCAAGGAGGATGGGCAGGGTAGGGCAGGGTTTGTGGAAAAGCAGCAGCCTAGGCACTGCCAAGCTCTCCATGAATAGGAGAGAAAGGCACTCTGGGTGTACCCAGGACTTTAATGTTCTGGGGTTGCTTTGGTTACAGGTTCTTTCAGTAACGTTTGTCACTTTTGGTTTCAGATGTCCAGGATGTTCCTGCTGCTGCTCTGGTTTCTGCCTATCACTGAGGGGTCCCAGCGGGCTGAACCCATGTTCACTGCAGTCACCAACTCAGTTCTGCCCCCTGACTATGACAGTAATCCCACCCAGCTCAACTATGGTGTGGCAGTTACTGATGTGGACCATGATGGGGACTTTGAGATCGTCGTGGCAGGGTAAGTGCCTCCCACCCTCAGCTTTTGCTGTAATAAGGCTGTGTGACAACTCCAAATCCCAGTGACTTGCAACAACATACGTTCTCGTAGGTCTGTGGTCGTCTGCTGGGCTCAGCTGGGGTTCTGGGATGCTGTGGCCTCGCCTTTTGCTACTGCAGTGAGTCAGGATGGAAGGAAGTTTGGAAGAAGGGTGTTTGATCCACAGGCTTTTCAGGGAGAAAACTGGAATGCTCTGCTTTAAGTCACTCTCTTCTCTTCATATTTAAGCCTACTTGATTATGCAGGTATTACTTCTTTACCAGTGGGGCTGTAGAATCTCTGTATAGGAAGGCCTTAAGGGTGACAATTATGGTAGAAGGGGATGCTCAAAGCTGCCTTTGCACAGCACTTTACGTAAGACTAAGAAAACATTAATTAACCATTTCGAAGAGGGGGGAAGATGGAAATTAAGAGGGACAGCTAAACCTCTGCTGAACATGCCTTGGTGCCCACGGCTCCCTTCTCTCCTGAAAACCAACATTGGGTTGCAAAAAAAGCATAAGACTAGGAATCCGAATAGCCTGAGTTCATGCCCTAAGATGTAAACGTTCTAGTTGCATGACCTTCAGTCTCTTACTCACTGAGATTCAGAGATATCCTCTGTAAAAAGGGGAATAACTGTAATGGCTTGTTGTCTTGAAGCCTTCATAGGCTATTGCATGTGACAGTGCATTGTAAATTTCTGCCAATCACCATTGATAATTACTGTGCACTGAAGGTGCAGTGGCTCACGCCTGTAATCTCAATGCTTTAGGAGGCCGAGATGAGTGAATCACTTGAGGTCAGGAGTTCAAGACCAGCCTGGCCAACATGGTGAAATCCCGTCTCTACTAAAAATACAAAAATTAGCTGGGCATGGTGACACACGCCTGTACTCCCAGCTATTCAGGTGACTGAGGCACAAGAATTGCTTGAACCCAGGAGGCAGAGGTTGCAGTGAGCCAAGACGGCACCACTGCACTCCAGCCTGGGCGACAAAGCAAGACTCCATCTAAAAAAAAAAGGTTGTGCATCGAGCACTAATATGTGCCAGGCACTATGCATCATCTCATTTCACATCCCTCATTTTATTTCATCCCCAACAGCACTATGAAGTAAATGTATTGTCATCCCCATTGAGAGAAAAGGAAGGTGGGGTTCAGAGACAGTAAGCAGCTTGCTCTCTGCTAAGTAAATAGTAAGTAGATGAGTCGGGATCTGAACCCCAAGGCTTCCTAACTCTACAGCTGCCAAACAGCACTGTACAAAGTTTCGTTATCACTTCAAAAATCAGTCAATCAATAAAAACACTACAGGGGCCTGTCGACCTCATTCTGGGAGGCCCGAGCTTTTTTGGTAGCACTAAAGTAACTGGTGGGTAACATTATTTGCAGCAATTGCATGTAACAGTAGAAAGCTTTGACCTTGGAATTGGAAGACCTGGTTTTAATTCTAACCATAGCCAACCCAGTATTTATAAACCTTATGCAATTTACTTTACACAGACCCACTTTCCTCATCTAAATAAAATGGGCATATTAAAATCTACAGGGTAGTCATGAGGGTTAGTGGTGAGATGTATAGAAAAGATTCTTTGTAAAGTACAGTTTTTATTTTGTCTGTTCATTTCTTCTACCCTGCAAAGAGTAGAGTTACTCAATTCTAGGCCTTCTAGATCTAGATTGGTGTGCTGTCCAGAAGCACTTTCTGTGATGATGTAAATGTTCTGTGTTGATGCTGTCCAGTATGGAATCCACCAGCCACATGTAGCTACTGAGTATGTGAAATGGTAGCTAGTATGACCAATGAACTGAATTTTTAAATTTTCTTTTATTTTAATTAAAAATAGTCACTTTTGAATTGAACAGTACAGTTCTGGGCTTTTAGAAGGAAAAAACTAAAGAGCTGAATATGACAGAGAAGGAGAAATGGAATCATTGTAATGACTCTTTTTACCTTGGGTGACCTGAGCAGATTTGCAGTCAATCAGCCTTGCCTGTGTCTAGTTCTGTGACTGTCCAGTTGCTCTCTGAATCAGGGAGACACCCTCCTCACTAAGTCCATGCCCAACCTGACTCCCAGAGCCGTGTGCCACTCTGCCAGAATCTCTGGTTAGAGGACTTTGATGCATCTCTGAGACGTTCTGTTTGGATGGTTGCCCTGCCTCCTACTTGGCGACCCTGGCCTCCCCTGATAGACCCTGGGGACTGAAAAAGGACAGAGAAAAGCAGGACAACCGTCCTCCTCTCCTCCTCCTCGCCCCCCAAGTTGCAACTATTATGCCCTCCTTTCATCTTGGAAGATGGTATATTCTTGTATTCCCACAAGTTAATATGGAAAAAAGTAAGACCTGAGATATGAACAGAAAGTGTCTTCACCCTATTTTCTTCTCCTTCTGAGACCTGGACATCTGGAAGGAGCTAGCCAGATCCCAGAGCATGGAAAGCCTCTCCCTGTCTCCACTGGGAAGCTGTCTCTGATTTCAGTACCTTGCACCCCTCTCCCAGCCCCTGCCACTACACTGAGCAGCCAACGCTGCTTCTTATGGTCTGGCTTTCCCTCCTTCTCCCCTGGCTGTTTCAGGAGACCCATTGGGTCCCCCCTGCTCTGTTGCACTCTTTTCCCATGGTTCCAGATGGAAGGAAAGAAAGGGTGCAAAGGGCCGAGCACACCTCCTAAAGGAGGATGCAAAGAACCTCTTACAGCATACTTCATTATTTTTGCTATCGTTTTCCCCTTTCCACAGCATCTCTCTCAAAGGCATGCTGAAATAGTAGGCACAGGTTGCATTGCTCTCCTCATGATTCATCTTTCAGCTGCGAAGAACAGAACTAGCAGAGAAGGTCTTGGCCCCAGGGCTGGTGCTGGCCTGGGTCTATTTGGGAAGAAGCAGAGCTGTTTGGTAGCAGGATTTTCAGTTTGCCTGTCCTTTCCAGGTCAAACGAAGTGATATGTGCCCCCATGGGCCCACTCGCTGAGGTCAATTCCCTGAGCCTGTGTGTAAATGTGGGCTCTGTGTGCAGGTCTTTATCCCGCCAGTCCTTTGATGTGCAGGGGATTGCTTCTGCACCTCCTGAGCCTTCAGTTTCTTTCTTTCTTTCCAAGTGTTGGACATTCATTTCATCTTCCTCTTCAATGAAGTCTTTTTCGCTTTCTCTTTCAAGAAATGTGCCTTTGTGTCCTCTGTGGCAGGGAAGCTAGATCATCATTTGCACTGACGGCAAGGTTTAGAAGTCTCAACCTTGTGTAGCTTGCTGTTTATATGGGTCCTGTAGGACTTTGGAGTCATCCTCTGGAAACAAGAACTAGACCGTCCTGGGTCTTGATGTGGAGTCAGCCATTTAGAGAGAGCCCTGTCTCTTCTAGGGCAGGGTTGAGCCCAGGCAGCCTCTGTCTGAGAAAGCTTGGGCTGCTGGATGTTATTCTGAAAGATGATATTTATTGCTCACCCCCAGCAAAGAACAAGAGTTACACAGAAGACAGGATGGCAAAATTGGGCAGTCTCCCAGCTCCAGGTCAGGCTTTCTTTGTGGCTGTTGTGAAGCATTGTGAATTCTCAGAGCATCAGAAAGACACATTCTAATTTGAGTACCAAAATACATTCCAAAGGCAAATATAACTTTTTATTATCTTCAGCTTAGGATGATTTGTCACTGTCTCCTTTTTGGGGCTGGATAACCAAAAATGGACTATACAGACATATTTAAATCAGGGTCTTGGGAGGTCATTTTGTCCACCCCTTGCCTTACAATAAGGCCACACCTATAGTATTCAGAGGCTCCATTTACTTTGAGCCATCTGAGGGAACGTGGCAATCCTATTGTAATCCAGCTCGATAGTTACTTATGTCAAGAACCAATTTGACTAATATGAATCCCTCATATTAGAGCTTAATAAGCTATTTCTTTTAGCTTTTGTTTTGCTATTGCCTTTGAAGATATAAACCAAATGATCACTATCTTTTCAAACAATGAAAGCTAGGATCACTGCCCTGCCTTTCATCCCATGTGGACTTTTTGGCAACATTTCTGATTTTGACCCCTAGATTTCATCCACCCTAAACCTATATTTCTGTTTTATTATCTGTCTGATTGTCACCTCTCTGTGTAAGAATCATGTAGCAGGAGTTGAAATTTTGAAATATTGCATTTGTAGCCTTTATCAGGGATACCTACGGTCCAGTTCATAACAGGTTCACCCTCTATTACCTTATAGACCTTTCCACTACCTGGCCCCTGAAAGCATTTACTTTTGCCACCCCTGGTAGAACAGCCAGCTCTTCTGTTTATAAAGCACTCCGTACTTGAACTTGTCTTGAATGTGTTGACCTTGTAGTATGTCTGACTGGAGCCCTGTTGCTCTGAGTATTTACTCTTTGAATAGGTTTGTTTTGTGTTGCTTTTTCGGTGTCCTCGTTCTGGGTATTGACAGCATTGATTTTGAGCGTGTTGCGGGTCGGTTTGTGTTGTGTTTCAGATTCTTGAGTTAATTGTGATGGAAGGCGTGTGCATGTCTCTGACTCTGGGAGGAGCAGGAAATGACCGCCCTTTGTTCTGCGGGGATGGGGGAGGAGGGACTGGGCCGGCTCGGATCCTCTGCACATCTGGGCGAGTGCCTCCGCATATGGAGGGCTTATCTGTTAACCGGCAGGTGTATGATTGCAGTCTGCTCCCTGCAGGGTGAGGGGAAGATTTGATCACCTCTGGCAACTTCCACGCACGCACAGACCATTGAGGATCTTCAGGACTAGTTTTCCAGTAAATAGAAAGCCCAGTGGCTTCTCCTTTTCTCAGTGGAACTAAACACCCAATCTACAGTCTCACAGAGTCTGGAAAGGAATTCCTGTTGGTGTCAATCTTGTACAATTCCTTTAGAGCAGCTTTTGTTTCCTGGGATATCCCCAGAGGTCTGAGATAACACCCCTACCATCTCAGTTTCCAACAGGAGTTTGCTCAAATGGAAAGATTGTAGTGGTTGTAAAG